AGGAGACTACTTGGTTTACCTAGGCATAGATTGTAGGATAATATTAAAATGCATATTAAGGAAATAAAATATGAGGTTGTGGAACAGTATTTATCTCTTTGATGGTAGCAGGCTCTTGTGAAGATGGTAATAAATCTTATTTTTCCATTAAAGACGAAGAATAGTTTGATCATTTGAGAGATTAGTAGCTTCTGAAGGATGACTCTTCTTCTTGGTAATATATTATTGATTTAATTTTACTCATTAAGCGACTGTAATATGAAAAATAGAATTTATGCGATGCATGAAATCCGTAGATGGGTCTTTGCTTTATTTTTCATTAATTGCGGAGCTTTAAGATAGGCTTAAAAGTTTATGAATGAGAGGAAAATATAGATTGGCAGTTTGAATATACTTTCGCTGCTTACACGCGATGCTGAGAAACAAGGGACTCGAAGACCGTGACAGGTAGTTGATTTTTTTTACTGTAATTCCCTACGAACCATGGGTTCTCCGAGACGAGTAACAGAATAAATGCATATAATTCGAATTTCAGGGAAATGAACCATATATTCGAAGCAGATTACAAAAGATTTTCGAAATGTGGACTTAATTGTTTAATCTAAAGTTAGATCTGCGGTTAGCATTGAAATGTACAAGTAAGCGAGGCTGCATTTACAATATTTGTCCTATTACAATAATATTCTCCTGAACGTCTACTCATGCAACAAATGAAATTCGATAGTTTAAAAAGTATTGCAGCATTCTCAGAATTATAAACTATCGATTGAAAATAAGTCTGTATTGAAAATGGAAAGATGTAAGCCATAATCGCACCGACTTACAAACTTCAGAGCTCATTTAAACCCGTGAATATATTTCCTCGTCTTACTCTTAAAGATTCTCGATCGTCATGTGTCATTCATGGTCTTACCTTGTTTCCTGGGGTTGCTGCAGTTTGGCGCCTCTTGAATGACCCGGATGTTATTCGCCCACTTGGATGGGGGTACTCTCGTTCGTCGCTATCACTTTATTAGACATTGTTCGTGCTAGATCAGCTTGTGGCAAACTGACAACCTGCTCCATTGAGAATCTGCACACTTCGAAACGTGCCCTCCCTCCGCTACGCTCGCGCGCGCGCATTTGCGGCTGATTACGTCACGTGTCTTATTGCAGTTTTGAACGTGGACCAACCTTCCATTTACTGATATCCGTCTCACCGCTTCTCTGTCTCTCCTCTTCGCACTGTTTAAAAAAAGTCCGCAATCAATAGCTGTTATCTCATTTGTTCAGTTACCTATTTCGAGAAATATCTTTCGTTACGATCGGCTTGTTTCTATCTTGGCTCGGACTTAAGCTGCCACACTTCATCTGTTCTTTTCGGTATTTACATTTCGCAGCGCTGTGTTATTGTCTCGCTACGAATGGAATGACCATAATGCTATTCGTGGCAAGGGCAGGGATTTTTCTATGTGGGTTGTCAGGTTCTGACGGCTGTGAAGGCGACGAGTTGACGCCATGTGAATGATGATGTCTTGTTATGAGAGTGTTAAATATAAATGTCGTAGCCACATACGCTGTACGTGTTGTTGTATCAATAATGAGGATGCCGCACTGTCTTCCCGACTGCTATCTAAAAACGTAAACATTAAAATATAGACATTGTACTTTTACCCGTTGTTTCGTATGGAAGTGAAAGTTTCCCGTTAACGAAGGAATGCGGATTCAGAATTGCTAGAGAATGTGATGGATACGAGAATATTTGGGCCTATGATTATTAAAGAGACAGGAGGGAGGAGAAAATTGCATAATAAAAATATTAATAAATCTTTTGTGCTTTAAATAGATATTTATTAGGATATTCAAATCGAGGAGGATGAGATGGGAGAGAAACATAACTCGCATGAGGAATGTAAAAAATACCTAAAAAAAAATTTGCTTCTAAATCCTGATGGGTCGAGACAACTCGGAAGATCTAGTAGTAGATGGGAGTATAATATTAAAATGGGTAGTAGAGAATTGGAACATAAGGGTGTTGATTGGATTGATCTGACAGGTAGCGTGCGATTGTGAACGAGGTAATGAACATTGGGGGATTTCTTGATCAGCTGAGCAACTACCAATTTTTGAAGAACAACTGTGCACCATGTAGTTTGTTAGTTGTAGATATGTATCGGTTAATACCTCGAGTGACGTTACGTTTACATTTTTTAATTCTTCTGAATTTTGAAATTCACCACGTGCGTGGCGAGCTTTCGGTACTGATTTAGATAGAATCGCCCTGATGACGGAGGCAGTATGACCTCTGAAACGTTGGTAAACATCGACCAGACTACACAGCGCAACAACCCAGAAGACAGAAATCTTCATACTCAATCGCCCTGATGACGGAGGCAGTATGACCTCTGAAACGTTGGTAAACATCGACCAGACTACACAGCGGAACAACTCAGAAGACAGAAATCTTCATACTCAATCGCCCTGATGACGGAGGCAGTATGACCTCTGAAACGTTGGTAAACATCGACCAGACTACATCGATGGTTACTTCTTTCTACTCTTCTCTGACTCCAGTTTTTGTTACAAGGCCTACTATTCCAATAACAGCAACGACTACTGCACTTTCTGTTTGATGTGAGCGTTGCTGACGTCACTGCCAATGTACAGCTCATCCATCTCTCATAGACTACAGCTTTCGGCTTTGAAGGTAAATCTTAAGATATCAGGATCAAACTCGGTGATGGACACTTTTTTGGTCTGTAGTTGTGAAATACCTTTTTTATAACATATACGCCATTGTTCTTTCACCTCTCAAGTGTATATTCAATATATGTCTAAGCTATTACACATGTCGCAGTAACTAATGAGTTTGTTTATGGGACCATTCAGTTAAAATATCTCTGTCATTTTGAATAAATTAAGAAGAACGGGATTGGTAGCAAATTAACTTGCGCGGTGGTGACAAGATTACGACTGGATTATTGTTATCGAGTTATTGGGTGATTACCGCTTGAGAGTGGTAAATGTTATTGAATTATTTAAAAATCTTTTAAAAAATGAGTTATGAAGATATGTTGGTTGGGTTTTAAAATCTTGTGTAAGAAACTAAACCAACCCCCCCGAACGGGGGGGTTAAAACACTTGACCAACCCCCCTTCGGAGGGGTTGGTTGCGTTTTAAAATCTTGTGTAAGAAACTAAACCAACCCCCCCGAACGGGGGGGTTAAAACACTTGACCAACCCCCCTTCGGAGGGGTTGGTTGCGTTTTAAAATCTTGTGTAAGACACTAAACTAACCCCCCTGTTTACTCGGCATTGTTGTGTTGATAAAACAATGCCGAGTAAACAAATATAACGTGACTGTTTGATGACGTCATTTTTCGACGACAACGACAAATCACAAATTTTTATAGAAGAAGAAAGAGAAAAATGTTTGTTGCAGTAATTCCCACAGCGTGTTAACTTAACTGATACTCGCCCACTTCCTTCCTCATCCCACGTCTGGGATTCTGTGTTCTGGGTAATGTTGATGAATAGCCGGTGGTGTGTTCAGGAGAGCCACGTTGTTTTCTACACGTGTCCTTTCGACTCGGGTTCCCAATAATATGTGGGCGTGTGTAACTAGAGGTGACTTTCGTTTCATTTTTGACCATACACTTCGACAAGCCTCGAAGCGGCAAGTTAAAAGGAAATTTAGCTTTCAAAATAATTCATTTGCCATCTGGTTCTGCGGTATTACGTCTCTGGTAAAGGTCCTTAATACGATTCCTATAATATATTAGTTTATGATCTATAATCAGGCCACAGCTTCACAAAACTCTGCCCTTTAGTTCATCAATTATAGTCATCAACCAGCGTGGAGTCGATGATCATCTCTGAAATGTCTGTAAATATTTACAAGACTGTACTGTGCAATATCAGAGTGGACAATTATCTACTGAGGCTACACATAGCTAAGTGAGAATCCGGGTATGGTATGAGAATGATAGGCCTGTGGGAATCATTCACATGACTTTGTGATCAAGTGAATTATAATTGGAAATGTGTCGGAAGAACTGCGTATTCATAAACCACAAAGGCATCAAGACATCTGCAATTGCGAAATCCCACTTTTCAACAAGTGTTGTCTTTATGAAAATTCTTTCACATAACTTGCTGAATATCGTTTGTCGATTTTATGCAGTGGTTGCCACTTCGTCTGGCAGTTTGAAGGTAATATCTTCTGATAGACAATTTTGTCATCTGTGGCTTAAAATCTGTGATTCTAAACGCTTACAACTAGGAGTGTAAAATGCAATGAAGCAATACTAAATTTCGCTCGTATAAACAAATCAATAGATAAGCTGGCTTTGGGCTGATCGCTCAGAATTTAATTTCAGACAATAACGTTTCTGAAGTTTTCTTACGTTCTATATCGTTCAGGACTACTCACTACATTTTGATATGTATAAATTTAAATATGATAAATCATTGATAATACTATAATAAATTGAGATTTATATATCCATTAATTATTTTTGTGTTTATACGAATCATCTGCTTAAATAGTTTGCGTGGGATCTTCAACTGGAGGAAAGGAGTTCTGAGCCTGGTTAAAGTGTTAATGAGTTTAAACATATTACGCTTATTCTTGAGATTTCAGATTCTCGCGGTTGCGAATATGAATATTGCTGTCTCCTGCGTTGTAGTCTGGTAGAAATTTAATGACGTATCTCAAGTCATCGCTCTGATGATGTAGGCGCCAAGTGCCTCTGAAATGTCAGTAAACGTCTACCAGATTACACGGCGGAAGAACCCAGCCATCTTCATGTTTTTTTCTCAACCACTGATTACATCACCAACAGGTTTGTTTCCCCGTAAAATTTTGTCCCCCGAGGAGTAGTTGTAAAAGGAAGTCCGTTCGACTCTTTTCTTGGCTGCAAGTGTAGTTCAGTTTTCTTTAAAAGAGAATCACATGAAAAGCAAGTCAACGAACCAGATGATATTGTTCCTGTGTTGACTTTCAGGTCATAAAGCTGCTTGTATTATCCGTAACAGCGGAAAATTCTTTCGCATCCTTAAGGCGTCCTTGGCGTTAATATTTTCCTCAAATTAGGACACTGGATTTTCTTTGCGTATGGCAGTCCTTATCAACATTAGTTTAGTTTCTTGTTTTATAATTACAGTTTAAATAACACTATTTTTTGCATCGATTTTAATCCACAATTAAAGTTATGCTTGCTCGTTTTGACGAAAAACTGTAGTTGAAGTTGACATAAAAACTAATCGTTCGCATCGCCGTACACATGAGGCAACTTCTCCGACACATGTTCCCGGCGGGTCACACACATTGCAGGCGAGCTGACACTACGCGGTATATAAAATGTATTTTGTTGGAATTGGGAAAGGTATCGATATTTTTTCTTATATACTATTCATGTAACATAGAACTTGGATTTATGTAACAAGCTTCTAAAATTCTTAGACTCTGCCGTGAAATCGTATCAAGAGAAATGAAATCATAATGTGTTAATTAGTTTGGAATTCTATCCGGAGCAGGTCAAATTACGAATATATTGCTTTCCGAGTTTCGAAGTAGTGCTTTAAATAGGCCACGACAGGTTGCTTCGATCACCATTAAATTTAATAGGTAAATAACCTGTAAAGTTACCTAGTCTTATTAAATAATGCAATCCATGGAAGAGAGTTCTTAGTTAGAAATTAGTAGTCAGTTCCAAATGAAATTCCAGCTTATGTGGAATCCAGAATATTATTACCGTATTCACAAGAATTTTAAACCCAATTTATAGACAATGCCTTATTTATGCAGTTAAATATCATCCGATATAATTTTATCAGAATGGTAAACGGAAGAGGTACAGAGGCAGGTTATGTCACAATGATTATACAAATTTGTGGATTTGTTAGCTAAAGCTTCCCTTCCACACAAACATAATATTAAAGCGAGCGATCATTAAGCAGGTTTACCAACTTCCTGACTCGTTACTAGGGATCTCGCCTCTGTTGATACAGCAGTGATGTTAGGTTCAGGTCACAAACCGTGGTTGGCGTGAAAAATGACTCAATTACCGTTCTATTGCTCTGTGCTCCCTGTGGACGAATGATGAGGTCAGAGACACCGGAGGTCACCGTCCGTAGACATTACCTTCAGGATTACCTCATGATTATTTTCCACAGAAGTGATGGTGGTTGTAATTGAAGCGAATGTGTGGGTAGATCCCTTAAACCCATCTGCAGCATGTCGAATGCCATCCAGGGGGGTGAACAATTAATTTTAGTTTGTGTTGGAAGTAAAGTTGCATCATCAGATGCTGATCATTAATTTTTCAAGAATTGTTTGAATCTTAAATTGAGTT